GCTAGAGAACACTTGATGAAGGGACCAATATCACGTGCTAATATTATAGTGAGCTTTAGGGATAATCATCCTAAGTATTTGTTATTTATGTATTTCTGTTGCTAGGAAGCTTAGCTGAAGTGCTACAAGTTGCTAATTTTGTTTCTGATACCTACTAAAGGCCACCCTTAGCCATATGTTTATGTGTGTGCTGTGTGTCTTGGTTTATTTCCTTTAGTGTTTTATGTGTCAAACCAATGAAATAGTTGTGCATGTAGCATTTTACAGATTCTATTTATCATCAACAACAAAAATTTTTCTCCTCGGATGGCCTAAATACAGAAAAACAAAATTACCTCAGAGTGGACAGGAATAGAGATTTCTACAGGGATAGTGGACATTATTACTAGCTAATAATAATAATGATTCGAGTTATTTTTGTATTTGTATTCAAGCTGTGTTTGTATTTGTATTATACCTGACCGTTTAGTAAGGATTTTTCTGTTTCTTTCCTCCTATTTAATCTTCACTGGGACCCTGTGCATTTAGGTATTGAAGTCATTCCATTTTCAGATGAAAACACTGTGGAATTACAGTGCAGGGATGGTAAATGATTATATAATATTGCCCATCAAATATGGACAACAATTGAGATTTGAATGCAGGTCTATCTGACTCCAAGTCCAGTGTTCTTCCAGTTCTTCCTATGGTTAAATTTTCCTGAAATTCAACAAATTAGTTAGTGGCATGGTTGCCCCTGCCGGGCCACAGTGATTGGAATATTAGTGGACCACGTGGCTAGCTCCCTGCCTTTGTATCAAGGCCTGTCCAGGTACATCGGGAACCAGTTTCCAAATTCAAAGGGATGTCATGAGATGTTTTAATCGCTCTTTTCTCCTTCCTCTTTGATGTCTTCTTGTTGGCAATGGTATAGCCATTTGTTACGCACCCAATTAAGTCAGCAGTCTTGTAGTCTTTTGTAGAATGTGGAAACTTCTCGTTTTATGCCTTGTGACTCTGCTTCATGGAGCCGACAAGAGAGATGGCGGAAAAGGTTACAGTCACTCCATTTCTCTATTAACGTCTTTTGCTGAGAGCTTATCACTAATTTTGGTGTCAGAGCAACAGTCATTTTGAGGCCTTATGAAAGCCTACATACTCCCCAGCAATGCAGACAGCCCCCCTGACCTTTGCGGCTGCAGATAATGGCCAAGGCTGCAGCACAGTGACCTTTAGGCCAAGAGTGGGTGGCAGCACTTTCTTTTCTGTGACATTCATTTTGCTTTGCCTCTGTTTGTATTTTTAATTGGAAGCATGTACCATGTGGATCTGCCTGGTTCTCCCCTTCCACCCTGAACTCGGAGCAGAGAGATTGTGTCTGGCCAGCTCTTGCTATAAAGGAGTGCTCTCAGTGCCAAGCTGGGGGTCATTACTAATTGCCTCAGTGACAGACACAAAGAATATTACTGGCAATCTTTCACGGGGAGATGCTGTCGGCAGAAGAGGGCCTTTGTCCCACCTGGACCAGCCCAGGTTTCCTTCTCATATTCATTTTACTCCCGTGATCCTATGAGATGAATCAGGCACTTGAATTTTTTTTTTTTTTTTTTCAAATGGCAATTTTTATTGCACCAGAAACCTTGTCCTCCAAGGGGAACTACAGCCATTTAGGCCATCTCTTCAAGCTCCATCTCTGGTCCTTGTCCTTTACGATATTGTTTATGGCAGACTTACCCAGAATCCTTCATTTCCCTTCCAGGCTATGATAGCTTCAGCTTATTCTAAAGGTCTTATGATTTATTCTATTTACTTCTTTATTATTTGCTACCTCTGTAATATTCCCTGGTTGCTTTCTGTATGTTGATCTTGTTTCCTCAGATAGTTGTTTTTTTTTTTTGCTACTTATCAAAGCGAAGCTGGTTATAAAAATTTCATAAGCACCTACTGTGTGCCGGGTCCCATGGTAGGTATTTTATGTATATAGCTTCATGTAATCCTCACAACCAAAGCCACAGAATTGTCTTTGAGAAAGGGCAATTTATGGTAAATGCCAAGGTTTGCATGGCAAAGGAAGCAAGTGCCAAGATTTATCTCCTTTCCTCTTCAAAATTGCTTTTATTTTCAGCAAACACAGAGTAGAAATTGGCAGATTTTCTCCTGCTTTGAGTTATGTGGTTTGGCTAGCCTGGGACCTAGAACACCCCAGCACCCTGGGACCTCACACATCCTCCCCACTCTCTAGGCACCTGGCTACCAACACGCCCAACCCCATTGAGGCCTTTCACACTCACACCAGGGGGCCCTAATGTGTCAGAGGAATGGAGCAGTTTTGCCTTCTTGCACAGGAGGAGCTGCATGTCCAAGGCAGTCAGGATCCACACATACGATTGTGGAAGGGGCTGACAAGGTGCCATCATCTTAGAAGAAAACTGTGCTTTTATGTTCTGCCGACTTTTGAAATCCAGCTCCTGCTCGTAAATCGCCGTGTAACCATGTCGGGGATTATGGAGGGTTTTTCTATTTATGTGTATATATGTACATTGTTGCTCCTGATGACTCAAGCAGCGGCACTAGCGGGGAAGCTTGGTCCACCTCGCGAAGCGCTTAACAAGAGTCCTGACAACAGCAATATGTTACTGCTTTTGTTTGTACTGCATCTTCACACCCACTCACTCAGCAACAGACTGAATGAAATGTGCTCTGGTGCTTTGTGTGTGGGGAAAAAGAATGAAAATAATGGCCATTCAGGCAAAATAAGGCTTTTCGGTGCTTTTCAGAAAGCAGTCTTTTTTTCATTGTTGTCCCTGTGTTCACATAATGGCCTTATCCTTGTCTTTCACTAAAACATGCCCAAAGCAAGGAAAACATCTCACCCTGAACACAGAAGAATGCATTGCTCTTAAAGTGATCAGCAAGGAAGACACGGCCTGGGAGGATGCCGGACTGGGTTTCTAGAGGGCTCCCTGCTCAGAGCAAGTTGATGGGCAGGTGACTACAGATGGGAAAGGGGCTTGCTGGAAAGCAGCTCCGCTGTGTCTGGCAAGGCCTTAAGAAGGGGAAAACATGATCATCACCATCACTGTGACATGAATTGGGCACTTACCATGTACCAGGCACGGGACAGGGTGTCTCTTAGGCATCATATAATCTGCTCCAAACCCTCACAGGCGGATATCATTATTATCTCCATTTTAGAGATGAGGACCCCAGTCTAGAGAGATCAAGTAACCTCCGCAGTGGAGGAGTCATGGGGAGTCAGGATTTGAATCTGGGTACTATCTGACCCCCTGCTTAAACATCACACCAGCATCTTAAACACTGCCCCGAGATCCTCAGAATCAAACCTCCCGTGCTTGCCAATTAGCGGAGGTGATTCATGGAATGAGGAGGGGAAGTTCAGGGAGGGATACTTTGAGAACTGTTCGAAAGAGGGTTGTTCTAAGTTCCCTTGCTAGCTCATCGTTGGGATGGAGGAGCTGCACGTTATGTCAACCATAAACGTGTGAGAGGCAGAATGAGTGAGGGCGTCAGCCTGGATTCAGGTCGAGTTGTCCTGGGACCAGCTCCATGAACATGGACTGTTCATTCTCCTCCCCGGGCTTTGGCAGCCTGTGCTTTAGCCATACCCCCATGCTTGTTAAAATGACCACAGGGCTACAAAATCATCTACGTCTTCCCTGTCCCTGCATCTTTCCAGGGAGCCCTCTTCATGATGATGTCTCATTAGTAGCTCATTTCTGCTTCTCTCAGTGACAGGAAACCCACTAGAGCCACAAGGGCCTTTGAGACCGCACCTCACTAGCCCTGAAGATATTCTTCCCTTTGTGTGCAAGATGCTTCCTCCTCTATCCTCAGGCCATCCACAGCCCACCAACCCTTACAGGTCCAGTTGAAATCCTGCCTCCTCAACAAGACCATCCTTGTGTATATATTTCTTCCTGGCCCCACAGTCAGAGACATCACAATGATAGCTTGAAATCAATCACTGTAGGAATATTTACAACACAGAAATTCACAAACATTGCAAATCAGACCCTTGTTTTTGCTGTTGTTTTGTAAGCTGGTTTTTTTAAGCACATCACTGCTCATACCTAATGCCCCACCACTCGTTTGGCCCCAACGACTAAAAGTGTACTTTGGCGAGGTTTTATGATGTGCCCATGCTTGCCTCTCAGTGGAGACTGTAAGAGGATCATCAAATTCTTTGTATCTCCCCAGCATCATCATGGTACCTCATAAATAGGAAGCCTTGTCCAGTATCTGTATCTGTCAATGTTGTCCATTTCATCTATAAATAGTTGGGGTATACTTTTTCCCTAAAAGTTTTCAGATGCTACCCAACTGGCTACAAGTGAATGTGTGAAATACCTGATTGTCTGTCATTCCTTCCTTCATTCATTCAACCATTTATTTATACCAGTGAGCATTTGCTGTGTGTCAGGCATTTGTGCAAAGGCGGAGCATTCAGAGGTAATTAAAACAGAGGAGGTCTCTGCTCTAGGGGAGCCCACAGTCTAGTCTGGAGAGACAGAAAATAAACGAGTAAACAAATCCTCAGAGAAATTAGAAACTAATAGCAGCAAAGGATCCAAAAAGAAGAACTGAGAGGAGCTGGGGCATGGGTGGAGCACAGTCTCAAGTTGGGAGGTATATTGATTTTCTACTGCAGCTACACCAAATAACTACAGATGGTTTGGCTTAGAACAGTATGAGTGTATTCTGTTACAGTTCTAGAGGTCACAAGTCTAAAATGGTCTGTGACATGGTTTGGATTTATGCCCCGGTCCAAATCTCATGCTGAATTATAACTACCAGTGTTGGAGGAGGAGCCTGGCGGGGGGTGACTGGATTATGGGTGGATTTCCCCCTTGCTGTTCTCATGATAGTGAATGAGTTCTCATGAGATCTGGTTGTTTAAAAGTGTGTGGTGTCTCCCCATTAACACTCTCTCTGTCTCTCCTGCTCCGCTGTGTAAGACATGCCTGCTTCTCTTTCACCTTCTGCCATGACTGTACGTTTCCTGAGGCCTCCCCAGCCATGTTTCCTGTACAGCCTGTGGAACCATGTGCCAGTTAAACCTCTTTTCTTTGTAAATTACCCAGTCTCAGGTAGTTCTTTATAGCAATGCGAGCATGGACTAACACAGGTTGGAGGCGTGCATTCCTTCTGGAGGCTTCAGGGAAGAATTGTATCTTGGGCTTGTCCAGCTCATGGAAGCCGCCTGCATTCCTTGGCTCATAGCCCTGCATCTCTCCAATTTCAGTTTCTGTTGTCACACCTCCCTCTCTGACTATGACTCCCCTTCCTCCCTCTTTTTCCCTTACAAGGACTGTTGTGATCATACGAAGCCCACATGGATAAGCCAGGATCATCTCCATATCTCAAAATACTTCATCCTTTGAGTCTCTTTGGCCGTGTAATGTAGCATATTCACAGGTTTCAGGGAATAGGAGATGACATCTTTGGGAGCCATTATTTTTCCTACACAGGAGGTGAGGGAAGGCCTGTCTCTGGAGGTGGCACTTGAGAGGAGACCCAAATAACAAAAACAGATGAAGGGGGCAGACTGCAAAGATCCTAGGCCTGGCACAAGCCTGGAGATTCTGAGGAAAATGCCAGCATGATTGAAGTGAGCAGCCGGGGAGGCCGGAGGGGTAGACTAGAGCCGGAGGCAGGACCCTGGTCCCTCAGCATTGCAAGGGCCAGAGAAGGAGGGTGGATTTCATTCTGAGCACATTAGAACATGGGCAGAGGGCTGGGGAGTTGTGTTTTCACTGGACTAACTTGTACGTGAATTAAGACAACTTCCCTGGCTGTTGTCTAGACCAGTGCCGTCTGGTAGAAATACAGTCTAATCACATTTGTCAGTTTAAATGTTCTTCTAGTGGCCACATGTTAAGATGGAAAACTAAGCAGCTGAAATTAACCTTAATAAAACATTTTCTCTTTACCCAATATATCCAAAGTATTATCCTTTCAACATGTAATCAATATGGAAAACTTATTGATAAGATATTTTATATTTCTTTTTGTATCACATCTTCAATATCTCGTGTGGGTTTTATACGTAAAGCACACCTGTGTTTGGACTGGCCGTATTTGAAGTGCTTGACAGCTACATGTGGTTGGTGGCTACCATTTTGGATAGTACATGGCTAGACACTGTTCTCAGAATCCTGTGCAAAGTCTCCTTAGGTGGTGTTTAGAAAAGCAATGAACAGTGTAGTGTCATAGAACATATGGGTTACCTGTCACTTCCATCAGCCATCCCCAATTTCAGAGGCTCTGAGTAGGCCACCGAAGTGGGGGATGGAGCAGGAGATTCTAGAAAGGGTATGTCTTCTGGTAAAGCTGCTGACGTTCAGCCACAGACTCTGATTACACTCTTGCTTGGCTGCAACCTCCTAGAAACACCCTGTCTCTGTTTATTTCATAGATCTCTAAGTTCATCTCTGCATTCACCCTCATACCTTTAATCCTCAGGGAATTTCAGCCAAAGCCAGATATTTTTTCCCATTTCTTTTTAGATAGGGCCATTTATTCAACTCATTATACCAATATTACTGAAAACAAGGGCAGAGGTTAAAAACAGGAAAAATTCAATGAAGCAATGAGAGGGTATCAATTGCTAGGACAAGAAGTATATTCCAGGCACTTTTAAGCTATACCCATGCTCTCTTGAGCTCTTCCTCTGACCCTGATATTAACCACAAAAGTACAGCCCAAAATGCTTAGTAATAAAAGAGAATCATGTATATCCATTTGGATTTTTACAGTGCTACTAAAAGGGGTTATGAAACAGAAAATAAAGATCTGAATTAAACATTTAGGTCATGGTGGCTTTGCATAAAGTCTAGAATATGAGAAGCATATTCAATACTGCAGCAGACAATAAAAATAATAGCAATGTTCATTAGACTATCCTATTTAGAAACAGCTCTCTGTGCAACATCCTCAACTGGGAGGAAATAGGCTGGCCCCAAGTTTCTTTCCAATGACGGATTTGGTGGGCTGGCATCTTGATCCTGTCATCCAGGCTGTAGGTACCATCAAAAGGCAGCTCGACCATTTTTGATATGTAGTGACAAAAGCTCTAATGTGCGAGGACAGAGGTGCCTTCTGTGAGTGCTTTGGGGCTTTAGCGCTTCAGTCAAATTACCAGCGGCTCTAATTAGTGTTCCTGAAATCTGGAGCAATCTATATCTGCATTCCAAAAAGGGGTGGAATGTTTCCCTCTGATAACACATTAGTATGAGTCCTTCCTAGATGAGTTTTCTGAAATTATTAGGACGTGCTAGTGTGGAGGAGAAGCAGTTACGAAGGAGAAACCTGTTGCTTTGAAAATCAGCAGTGATATTTGCAATCAGCTGATTAATAAATATTTATACAGTACCTATCAAGGGCTACACTCTGAAAAAACGTAAGTATGCAATGATAAATCACAGTATGGGCACGAATGTGGTTCTGACCTGGGAACAAGTCGACCTGAGTCCTGCCAGCCACTTAACGATTGCCGCTGTCTTTGGTTTAATCATTGCATAGCAGAGACAATAGCTGTTGTCTCAACGAAAACTCATTTCCCTAGGACAAGTTACGTTACCTCTCTGGGTCTCAAGATTAAAAGGGTCTGAAGGGACCATGCTGGTGATGGTAATAAAAAGAGCTTCACATACTGAGATGTCCCTTTGTGCTGATTGTGCTAAGTGCTGGATGTGAATTAACTCGTATATTTCTTTCTTTCTTTTTTTTTTTTTTTTTGAGTCAGAGTTTCGCTCTTGTTACCCAGGCTGGTGTGCAATGGCGCAATCTCGGCTCACCGCAACCTCCGCCTCCTAGGTTCAGGCAATTCTCCTGCCTCAGCCTCCTGAGTAGCTGGGATTACAGGCACGCGCCACCATGCCCAGCTAATTTTTTGTAGTTTTAGTAGAGACGGGGTTTCACCATGTTGACCAGGATGGTCTCGATCTCTTGACCTCGTGATCCACCCGCCTCTACTAAAACTACAAAAAATTAGCTGGGCATGGTGGCGCGTGCCTGTAATCCCAGCTAATTTTTTGTAGTTTTAGTAGAGACGGGGTTTCACCATGTTGACCAGGATGGTCTCGATCTCTTGACCTCGTGATCCACCCGCCTTGGCCTCCCAAAGTGCTAGGATTACAGGCGTGAGCCACCGCGCCCAGCAACTCATATATTTCTAAAGCAAACTCAACTTGAAGGTGGGTTCTGTTAGTCCCCATTTGTAGATGAGAAAGCTCAGATTTAGATTGTGTGGCTTACCTGAAATCAAAGAACATTGACTGATGCCACAGCTGAGTTTCAATGGCAAGTTTTAGAGCCTGTAAAGCTTGCAATTGACACCCCCTGAAGCCCATCCCAGCTGTCACATTGTGTAGATCTGAGGACCTTAAAGAATCATCAGAAGATTGCTTCGGTGAATGGAAAGGTTGAAAACTGATGGGGGAAACCATATGTCAGGGAAATACAGACAAGGCATTAGCAGAGCTTCAGAGAGGAGAAACACACCACTGTCTGTGGCTCAGAGAATTGAGAACCTAACTATATCAGAATACCATGATGCTGAAATGCAGTGTCTCTTTCTGGGACATACACTGATAAATCAGTGCTGATATCTCAATTTGTGTTAATGTAGTGATGGTCATTCACCACATGAACCTTCACATAGCAGGCAGCGTCACCCGGAAAGGCACTTCAAGGCTGCTGTATGACAACTTGTCTCACCTTTTCAACCTTTCCATTTTATACCAGTGTCAGCCACAGCTGGAGGAGCTGTGAATTTCACTTTAACTGTGATAGTGAGTACACACACACACACACATACACATTGGCACCCACAAAGTCTTCACTTTGAAACAAGGGTGGGTTTGGTTTCCTTTGCTTACACAACTGATGCAGGGACACTTTTGTTTAGATGGCTCATTGGCCACAAACCGTTTCATTATGTGTTGCCCAGTTACCTTAGCTTCCTGCACATTCTTTTGAACAGATAGTTCATCTCCTTATCTCAGAGAGTTGTTTCCCCAAGTGTAGCCCTGGAGTCAATAGCTGTGATACCATCGAGGCAAGAAGGCATTAAACCACCTTTTTTGTAATTGTCTTAGTCTTACTTTTTCATGTCTGTTTCATGAAAAGATGATGTGGTTAGATTTAAGCTGGGCCTCGCTGAGGGTGTCATCTGTGCCTGGGGTTACCCACATCATCACGTGGCTTACCTTCCCTTGCAGTATGGTGATCTTATCTTCCTTGCCGCTTCTTGCCACAGAGCAGTCAGCTCCTTCTAGCTCCTGTGTGTGCGTGCATGCACACAAGTGTGCATTCGACATACATGGAGGTTTGCTCATGGCAGCAGCTTGTAAAATGACACTTTACCATTCAAAATGGAAACTGACTAGTCAGGGGCCTTTGCTATACTCTGAGGGGGAAAAAAAAAAAGCAACCTTTATTGGCTTTTTCATTTGGGAACTTGGAGCAAAGTTTTCCTTAAGCAGATGCATTTCTGTATAGTTGAAGCTAGTAATTCTTTTGTTCTGTCTGTGTCCCAGAAACTGAACTGACAACTCAGGATACAAAGATGAATATGACTGAGTCACTGTCCTTGAGAGAGCCTCAGGACAGCCATAGTAGGAAACATGTTAACAAATAGCTAGAATTCAACTTAGGAAGGGCAGAGAGGCACCATGAACAGAGTTCTCTGGGAAGACAAGCGAGGTTACTAAGAGAGAAGAGCCAGAGGAGGCTGTGAAAAGGAGCAGGCATTGAAACGCCATCCTCAAAGTCAAGTGCAAGTTTGCTGGGTAAGGAGGGGAAGATTTTCCTGGTGGAGAGAATAGCAAAAAAAGTAAATGAAGATATTTACAAAAAAAAGTAAACGTGGGCTATGTTTCGTGTGCCCTGAGCAGAGTAGGTATATCAGGGTGAGGCTGTAGAAAGATGAGCCAACCCCAGCTGAGGTAGGACTTTCTGCATTATCCTGAGATATTTAGCATTCAGGGTATGCTTTAAGATTTAATCCAGCAGGAACACCAGAGACCGAGGAGAAGCAAAAAGAGACATTCAAGGGCCTTGCCCAAATGAAGAACTTTGCCATCCCCAGGAAGACAGGGTCGTGCCAGCCAGTCTGTCGCTGGTCCTGACCCAAACTTTGGCTTTCTTTTCATCGGTCATTTAACCCTTTGAGAACCTGGCTTGCCATAGTCAGAGTGTGAATCTTGAAAGTATCCTTAACCTCTCCTGACAACTGTGAAGACACGTGGGAAGAATTGCTCTTGTATCTCATCTGGTCCTTGGGCAGCCAGTGGACATTTGACCATGACAGGTACAACAGGAACAGTTGGTTTGTGTGGCCACAGCAGCCACATCACAGGGACAAGGAAAGAGCTCTATGCTTGGGAGAAAGGGCTCTACCATTGTCATACGGAATGACCTTGGACAAATTACTTCTCTCCAGGCTTCAGTGTCCTCACTTGTAAAATGAGAGACCTGGACTTGATGGCTACTAAGAGGCCTCTTCTACCTTCTACTCTGTCTGATTCTGCCTTGCCTCTTTAATTTTTAGGAAGTAAGAGTGGAAGAGACTGACCAGGGAGCGGCTCTTCTTAACAGGAACTCTGAGATTCATGCATTTTTGTGCTTTGAGCAAGGATAAAACAAATGACCAAGTGGCCCAGCGAGGTCGTTCCTTCTTCCTTGGAGTAGAACAGCAGGAGGAGGGAGAGAGGCAGAACCCAGCTTCCTGGCTGAGTAGTTCTTGGGTTTGGGCATTCGGAGAATTACCTTAGGAATGGAGCTTCTTGAGAGGGGCACTGGGTGAAAAAGAAGGGTGGACAGAGAAAACGCCTGCCGCAGGATGCCGTGAAAGGACCCACATTTCAAATGAATACAGCCAGCCCCAGCCCTTCCATCACCCACTCTCGGTCATCAGATGTGGCACGCCAGCACTCCCTGCCCACCCACTTGAAGTTTCCTGGGTTGCATGTCATCTTTATCCATCCCATCTTCTACTTTGAAGGCTGAGCACTTTCAGTTCATATGGATTGAGGGCTCTTTAGGGCTCTTGTGCCCCAGGCACTGGTTTGGGTTTGTAAGGGGGTGACCGAGGCAGCCCAGGACCTGTGGAGGGTCGGGGGAAGGGTGTGACAGCAGCACAGATCATCCATTCACCTAGAAGGGGCAGTAAAGAGGGCTGGGTTGGCCGGGCATGGTGGCTCACACCTGTAATCCCAGCACTTTGCGAGGCAGAGGCGGGTGGATCACCTGAGATCAGGAGTTTGAGACCAGCCTGGCCAACATGGTGAAACCCTGCCTCTACTAAAAAATAAAAAACTTAGCCAAGTGTGGTGGCAGACACCTGTAATCACAGATACTCAGGAGGCTGAGGCAGGAGAATTGCTTGAACCCAGGAGACGGAGGTTGCAGTGAGCGCAGATCACACCACTGCACTCCAGCCTGGGCAGCAAGAGTGAGATTCTGTCTCAAAAAAAAAAAAAAAAATAGGGCTGAGTCAAGAGCTGGGTTTTGACATCATAAGATCTGCAGTCCAGTGCTCACCATTGACCACCAACTCACTGTACAACCTTCTCAAGCCACTTCATCTCCACAGGCCTGAAAATGGAAAGTGCACGTAGTGAAACTTCATGGAGGACTCTTGTGAGAACCAGCTCAGAAACTGCTTAACACTGCATCTGATGTGTACTAAGTAGCCCATAAATCATAAATGGCAGCTTAAAATATATCTCTTATGATTAATATATTCGAAAAGTAACTTAGGGTCAAGAGGTAGAAGTTTCTGTCTGCCGAGACAAGGTAGTTGGACTTGATCCTGCTGCCCGTGGGCAGCCAAAGAGGGTATTCCAGCAGGGATGACATTAAAGAAATTGCTGTTTGGAGAAATCTTCACCTGTCATCAGTTTGGGGAGAAAGAAGGAATGTTGGCAGGGAGGCTCTCTCAGTTCCAAGCAAAGAGGACGAGGGCCCGGGGGCAGTGGAGAAGGGAAGGGAGTGGAAAACACAAATTCATCAACTTTAGAAAGGAGCTGAGGAGCAAGGGATGGGTCAGCTTGGCAACCACAGAGGAGAAGGAAGCGAGTGTCAGAGGTGTGTTTTGAGAAGGCATCCGTGATGGCACTGACCCAAACCGCAGTGCGAGGGGAGGAGAGACAGTGCTGTTCTCTCTCCCGGAGGTGGGGGCAGCATCTGGGATCAGTGGACCTGGGTCCTGCAGCCCCAGGGGCACTACTTGGCACCGTGACTCATTTGTATCCTGCTTTCCTCCAAAAGATTTGCGACCATTTTACACCAGACACAGTGGATGGTTTCACTTTCCTCACAAGTGACAATGAGCTGGAACCGTAACAACCAAAAAAAGGAGGTAGAGGGTGGAGCACAACATCATGACTGGGAGGAGGGATGAGGGCAGAAAACGGCCTCACCAGGTGTGTGGAGGGTTGCGGGGCTCCGCCTGTCCGCTCATAGCCTTCGGATTGTTCCATCATTTCTAATCCACCCCCTTTGCGAGGGAGGAATCCCTTTCGTCAAAGACAGAAAATCCAGGTCTTTCTAAATGGCATTTTAAATCTTCCTTTCCTGTGCAATGTCAGAAGCAATGGCACGGTCCTTCTTTTCCAGAGCCAATACAACCCCCAAGAAAGGCCAGAGAGAGGGGGAGAGAAAGCAAGAAAGCCACAGAAAGGGAGAGAGAGACAGAGAGAGCCCATTGCCAGTAGGCACTGCCAGGTGAGCTGCTGGCTGGATGGTGGCGGGCGCAGTGGCCTCTGGATGATCCAACTTGTGGCTTCGCTTCCTCTCTCTTTCTCTTTGGCAGCACACAGTCACTCAGCCCTAGATGCCTCTGTGTTTCATACCTAGGAGGTCGGGGAGGGCACCTGGCAGTGCCCGAGGCCCCGAGAGGGTTCACAGCCGCCTCAGAGGTGTTTGGAGTCTCTGGGCGTGTGTTTCTCCAAGCTGGGTCAGCTGTGGAGTGGCGTGGAGAGAAAACAAGAAAGAGTGCTTTCCCTGAGCTTTCTGGTGAAAACATGCTTACGGGGAGTCAGTCAACGTTTGGTAAGTGCGCTGATTGTTTTTACTTTCAATGCCTACGTGTGTTTGCCTTCCGTAAGGCATCGTTGTCGAGGAAGGAGGTGGTATTGTCGCCACCCTCCCTCCCCGTGTGGTGTGACGGCACAGATACTTATCTCTACACCAGACTCAGTGTTGCTTTTTTTGGGTAACAGCTTTCGAAAAACTATCGCCTGGGCTCCAGCTGGTCAGGCTTTGATGGCAGTAGCCACGGTGCCAGGCAGATGCTTTCCCAGACAGGTTGCCAGTCCATGGAGACAGGCATGGGGGATCATGAAGCATCCTCCCCTTGTCACAAACCAGAAGCTAAGCCCCCTGTTCCTGGGATGTCCAGAGAGGCTGGGTAGGAAGACGTGCTGTGAACACAGAGGTCATTCCCTCCTGTCCTCCGCCAGCCTAGCAGTGGCAGGGCACGTGCTGGGTCCCTCTCTGGAGGGAAAAAGCAGCTAAGCAAACATCGCACTCTCTTGATCCTTCTCTAAATGGGACTCCTGAGTCCCAGAGTCCTGAACTAACTTTCCCAGGGCCAAGCCACTGCTGGTGAGAGTGGGGACAGGGTTCTGTGTGTCATGGCTACAAATCCATTGTCCAGAGACTTCTGGTTAAAGGCAAAAAGCCTGGCTTTGCAGCCACGGACCTGAATCCTGCCTGAGAACCTGGGGAGTTTCGCCTTTACCCGACCCCAGGTTGAGCTCTCAGTCTCCACCGGAACTGTGTCAGAGCCCTCTGGGGCAGGTGCGGAGGACACTGGCTGAGAAGACGAGGCACCAGAGAAACAGGCATCCTTCCTTTCCCCCTGAGAACCCTCCGAGGCACAAGTGGACCACCCGAGAACCAGGCTGTCCAAGGAAACCGCGGTTTTCATGCTAAGACAGCGAGTGAGGCGAACCCCAGAAACAGCTGCGATTGCTGCTGCAGACCCAGATGTCCTCCTCCCTGTGAGAGGCATCTCAGGCCCAAGTCTACACACTCAGCCCCTTCCCATCATGACAGCTCTTGTCCGTTGGCTGTTCCAAGACTCTCCAGCCCCTGCCCCCGCCTGCTACCCACAGCAGGACATAGCTCTTACTTCCTCTTCCAGTCTGGGCATCCACTCTCTCTGTTGACATTTTTAAATGTTTTTGTTTAATTAGGCAAACAGCAGAAATGTAAGAGTTCCTACTAGACGCCAGCCTTCATTCTAGACACCCCATAGCTGCGCAGAGACATATGTGATATATGCACATATACATAGGCACGCATAGCGATTGCTATTCAGGATTTGATTTCCTCCCAGGCTTCTGGTGCCTGTGAGTGAACACGGGACAGAGTCACTGTGGTTTACAACTCCAGGGGGAGTCATCCTCTGTGTATGCTGTAGAGATGTGCTCTAGCCAGTGCCAGTCTCACGGAATACAGCGAATGGTGCTCTGTGGAGTTACGAACTCCTTATACCTACCCTGGGTCCTCTGCCACATCCACTGTGCCGATGTGCATTGATATAATGCAGAGAGTAAGGTTGTGGTCGCCGAACTCCAGGAAGACTTGCATTCAAGTTCGAGCTAAACTATCAATACGCTGTGTGGCTTTGTGAGTGACTTAATCTCTCTGAGCTTCTTAGGAGATACTGGGTTAGTGTCCAAAGGAATTTCAGTTTTTGCCGTTAAAAGTAATGCATTTATTTTTAGGGTGGTTTGACAAATTAAATAAAGAAATACAAATGAGATTATTGAGTGAGGTACCTAAATGCTCAATATGTAATTTTAATTATTATCACCATCATTAATGTAATTATTGTTTAGTCAAAATTGTCATTATATTCATTCAGGGTACAATATATGAATACTATTCCCACAGTGCCTGACACATAAGCACTTACAAAATACGTGTTGAATGAATGTTTTGAAGGATGACCATGTGGTTAGCCAAATGCTCCCTTGAAAAGAAAAGAGGAAGATTGTCTGGGGGAACTGAGTTAAAGCCAGAAGACACTGAAGTTTTTCACATGATTTTGGCTAAACCATGTGCCCTGGAAACTGAAAGCAGAGAGGGAAATCTTGAACTGGTCACACTCTTTGACACCTACAAATAAAAGATGCCATTACATCTGGTGTGAGTGGGTTCCCTGTGAACCTGCTGTTGCTTCTGCCACGTTTTTTCTAAAGAAAACTTCCAGAAAGAGGGCCCTTTTCAGTCTGGTGGTTTCAGGTCCAGTTTCACCTTGCACAGAGACAGACTGGCAACCCTGGACCGCATGGGCTGGCCCCACGGCCCTGTGACCTGCTGCCTGCGTGCTTGGACAGCACACCCTGCACAGTGGGGCAGGTGGTGGGATGCTTCTCTTCCCCATGCCAGACATCTGGATAGTTAGAAACAGCTGGATAGCTTTTTCCCTTTCTATTCCAGATGTTTGGTGCTATGCATTCATAGCGTAAACTCCCCACCCCAGGCCATGTCTGGGTCAACAAATGACACCCGTTTTCTAGGATTCTTGGTAGATAAAGCAAACTGTAAGGTCTGGCACTGGAGGAACAGCACGCTGGGGAGTAGGGGTGGCAGAAACAATAGGATAGAGGTCTAAGAGGGCGGGGAACAGCTCATTCCACCACCTATGTTGGCTCAAGTGGAGCTGAGAGACAGTAAGAACAGAGTCTCTATTCAGAGAAGGGCTTGGAAGCCACCTTGAAGGATCTGGATGGGCCCCTGGACTCCCCTTCATGGGCTAGAGCTGGGTTATTCATTTCTAAAGCTCCTTCTCAAGCATTTTGAGACATTTTCTCTGCCAGCTCCCGTGCTAGGCAACAAAGATACAGACGTGAAGGAGATGGCTTTTGTCTTTCAGGCTGTGTCTTCACATGCCAAATGCGTGCATGCAAAGCAGACAACCCAGTTGCTCCCAGAAGTGTCCAAATATCCAGGTTTTTTTGGCAACATGAGAAGAAACAATCAGATGCTAACTTGTTGAGTGGAGCCCTTTATGATCTCACAGTGGATGAAGACTGTCCACAGTGAGTTCTTTAGAGGGGTAAATGGTACACAAAGGCTGTGTTCAACAGGGAAACCAAGGACCAGGCTACAGGCCAGCATGAGACATGACTTAGAGCGGGTGCGCCCCTATGCTCCAAACAGGCTCCCCACGGAACGCAGGGCAGGAGGTGGCGATTCTTGCTTTGTGCTTTTCACATGTGAAACTTGTAGTACCTGCTACCATGCCTGAGCCTGTATTGACGTGTGCAAGGAGGGACGAGGCTGGCAGTGTGCCGCATGCACATTGATTGATATATGTGCATCCTCATTGCTTCATAATTATTAAAGCCCCACCTGTGGAGGAGCTGGTGTTCGCCAAGCTTCATTCCACGTCTGGAATCACCTCAATCAAATAGGCTTCATTTTTTTCCCAGTCAGACTGCTTTTTTAAATTTCATATATTGACACGAAGATAGGAAATGTGAGAAAGAAAATGAACAAGAAAGAAATTGTTTTAGTGACATGAAGGAAGGGCCAAAAAGTTCAAGAGTGCCTTAAAAGTCAATGTAGGGATGGGGTGTGATGGCTTATGCCTATAATCACAGCACTTTGGGAGGCTGAGGTGGGAGGATCTCTTGAGCCCAGGAGTGTGAGATCAGCCTGGATGACTTAGCAAAACCCCATATCAACCAAAAAAAACAAGGTCAAGGTAAGGATTTTGTATGTGATTATGAGCTTAGGAAACCGCTGAAGTATTCTTCAACAGGGGAAGGCCCTGGTCAGATTTGCTGTTTAGAAGCGTTGCTGGCTGCAGCAACAAGAATTTGGGCTGGTGTCTTAGAGTAGGCGAGAGACGTGGACAGCCTGACCTAGGAGAGTAGAGGTGGGAGGACAGAGGAGGGAACTGATTGGAGGATATTTCAGGAGAGAACCCATTGAGGATTCAGTGACTAATGGACATGAGCTATGATGAAGAGAGGTGATGGTAGAGATTATCAGCTTTCCTGCAGGGTTTAGATGGAGGCATCTCCAGCTAAGACAGAAAACCTGGGAAACAGTAGGTTAGGCAAGAAGGCTGAGGTTGATTCTGACAATGCTATGTCTGGAGTCCCCTCTGAACATGTGGGTGGAAGTGTTCAGGGAGCTGCAGGGGAGGGAACCTGGACCCACGGAGAGCTCTTCTTAGAGAATGATGCTGGGGATTTTCTTAGTGCCCAGGGAAGCGTGGCATGTAGAATGATCAGCCTACTGATCAAGGAAGCCTATGGGACCTTCACTTCTGGGGCAGGCAGAGGGGGAGGAGCCTGTGGCAAGGATGAAGAATGGTCAGAGACATTCAAAGATAACCAGAGTAACCTTTTACATCTGTTCTTCTGTCATTGTGCGTGCTTTAAAAAATCCGGAGCAAGACGAAGTTCCTCAGTTTTGTCCCCTCTCTCCATCTCCACATAAAGCAGTGTGGCCAGCCCAGATCTTTCAGGGATGTTTCAAGCCACATCATAGTTCTGCCTGGGGATGCTCTTTTCCCATGGAATGACATTTACACCAGCACATGCTGACTAACGATACACCATGCAGAGTAGATTTTCAGCCGAATGCCATCTGCTTCAAAAACAATGAAACCAAATTTGCATGTAAACTGTTGTGACCAGTGCTTAACCATCAGAAATATGCCTATTACTAGGCACACTAAAAGAGGTCAGTGTAATGAAGTAAGTAAATGACTGGGCAACACTCTAGGTATTAATCTGTGCCTTGAATATCACAGAACTTGAGTTTTCCAGACAAAAATAAATACCAGAGAAGCTATTTGTTTTTAAATCAGTAGTAAGTTTTCATATCAATGCCAATTTTGGGGAGTAAAATGAATTAATAATATTTTCTGGCTTTAGAGGTGAATCAAATGGCACAGGCCAGTCATCTACATGGTTGCATGTAAGGTTAATAAACGAAAGCAGAGGATCGTCATGATTTAACAGCTTGAGTTCAAATAAGCTACTGAGGAATTTGGAGAGAGAAGTAAGAGTCAAAGACCTGGAATCAAGGCTCCCACACCCCGTCCTCAGACTCCTCAACTGTAAATAGGGATGGTAATAAACTGAAATCATGGGTTGCCATGACAGTTCTATGTGTATGGAAACTGCTTTGTGATGTGAAGTGGGTTGTTTTCATTGGTATGTTATTTTCAGGGGAAGACTTCACTTTTAGGTGTATCTCCCGGATCTGGAAGGCCAATCAGAGAGCTGATGGTGTTTCTGTAGGTTCTGTTTTTGAAATCATCTCTGGTCCACACAGTTTTCGCTTACCCTCTTCACTTTAGTAACGTCAGAAAGATTATATGATTGACTGATAGAACACCAGCAAGCCAGAGAGATATTCTACCAGCGCCCCAGGCTATACTTTCCATTTTTATTAAAATTCTTATTAACTCATAGCCCAAGAGCTTTTAAGCCAAGCCTGATCTCCTTTAGGGCCCCTTGATTTGATCAGAGCAATTTGTGTGCAGTGTTCTGGTCCCACTTTGTGCAGATGCAGCCAAGACAGCAGCCAAATGATGTTATTCTGAAGTGACTCGGGTGTCTCTCCCTTCAAAACCACTTTCCTTTCCAGTACTACTCCCACCCGGCCCTGTAGACACTTGAGCTCCACAGTTACAAGTCCACTCCCTGGATTTAAGAACCTCCAGTCCCCTTGGAAGCTCTAAATATATCTAGGAAACGTAACTACCAATCATTTATAGTTCAGTGATGCCGAGCTTGTTGGCTCCTCTTCTGAGAACAAGGATAGTTCTTTGGAGGAAAAAAAAAAATCCTGCAAAGATGAGGGTCTGGAAGGAAAATATACTATTGCAGGGTGAGAGGGGAAAGGGGAACAAGAAAGAACTTGAGGCATTGGGCCTAGCTCTCAGCATTGTCGAGGAGTCGCTGTGTCACTTAGATGCTAACAAAATGACTTGCCCTCAACAAATGAGCAGGTGCCCCATCTGGGGATGGGAGCAGGTCCATTGTTTGGGCTGCTGGGCAAATCTGCCTCTGAATTCTTCCCCCGTGGTCTTTATGATGATTTTTATCTTTCAACTGATGTTTGCTTAAGTAGCCTTACTGAATTACTCACATTTATCATTCCATTAACAGGCAGCCTTATGCTTAATGTCATCACCTTGGTAATCTGCTAAACTAGAGAGCACCTGAAAATAGCAACTCTCTTTGCTGCTTGCTGAGTAGAAGCCATTTCTTTCTTGGCATCATAGGACGTATCTGGGGCCATTTTGATTTTTACTCATTCGTGTTCATGTCAAGGTATAGAGCACACGGAGTTGAGGCTGGGAAGGGCGGTGCTGTTGTTCACAGGAACTAACCTTGGATCTCTAGCATTGCTGATTTAGAGTTTATTACCGGGAATTAAGGAGTGACTTAGCTTTTAAAACCACTCAGAGATGAAAACATGGATCCGAGTCTCAGTTTGACATGTGCTCTTATGTGCCTTCTTTGCATTTGAAGGAGCTATCCAGGCAGAGATCTTTCTGTGCAGTTTTATAATATTTGAGAAACTGTTATTTTTGCCTTTCCTCCTCATTCATTGTACAAAGATTTATGGAGCTGTCATTCACTGCATCCACAGCACTGTGGTAAGCATGCTAGGGCTATCCAGTGGGACGTTAGAGAAAGGATAGCTTCTGAAGAGCAATTAGCATGCCTAAAGTGTTTACTAGTTGATGATGTATTTCCATAACATTCAGTTCTCATAACTTCATGGTGTACCGACACATTATGTAAATTATATAAATGAGGAAACTGACATCCTAGGCCACCCAAGAGGCAAGTGTTGGAAGCCAGACTTCAATTTACATCTTCTGACTCCTAAGCGATGCTCTCTCAACCATTCTTCCTCCCTGGATCTTAGAACCTTTCCAGAGATACAAGACTTAAACACATGAAAAAGGCAGTACAAAGAAATTGGTAATTATATGCCACATTCATAGAGGTGTTGCCAGATTCCAGAAAAGGATGAAATCATGGTAATGAAAAATAGTAAAGGAGATGGGGCTTGGTGGGTTTGGTGAACTTAAGGGAAAGAAGAGTCCTTTAACTGGAGAGCAGCAAATGAGAAAGGGGCACAGAAAGTTAGGACCCAGGAAGAAGACTAATCTGGGGTCGGGCCGGTGGCTCACACCTGTAATCCTAGCACTCTGGGAGACTGAGGTGGGTGGATCACTTGGGGTCAGGAGTTTATCAGCCTGGCCAAGATGGTGAAAACCCATGTCTACTAAAAATACAAAAATTAGCCACGCGTTGTGGCACATGCCTGTAATCCCAGCTACTCATGAGGCTGAGGCACGAGAATCACTTGAATCTGGGAGGCAGAGTTTGCAGTAAGTGAAGATAGCACCACTGCACTATCTAATATATATATATATATAATATTAAAAATATAAATATATATATTTATATTTAAAAATATATATATATTTTATATTTTATATAAAAAATGTTTAA